AACTAATGCCTGGCATTTGGAATATGATATTTCCGTTGCAACCTATTTTAGTCACATAGCTGGTACCTGAATGAGAAGTTTCATTTTCTTCATGTTCTCTCATATTTGGAGGAATAAGTCCATGTAGCATGCTATCCCCAGTGGTATTTGCGGGATATTTGTCTTTACTGTCCCATCCTGATTCAAAAGGGGACAGTGAGCTAGGGGTTGAGCCTTCAAGTCTGGCACCCTCACTTGAGTCTTCTGCTGTTAAAATAGTGGTTTTATGAATTGGGAACTTATTATTTACACATCCATTATGTATATTATTCTCACCTTCATTTTCTTTCTACCAAAGACCTCTTTTTGTTGTATTTAGGCTGTGGTTCAGCAATCATTTTAACATAAGCTTAATGACTTCAATGAACTTAAATTTAAAAATGCTCTTTAGCATTGTTTGAATTTGGGCTTTACAGCTTAAGAATAAAAACTCAGAGATGACATTACATTCTGTATTGACCACAGTTGCTGTTTTCTTCATCTTTCTAAATAAGGCTCTGTAGCTTTTCTGAAGCATTTTTTCATAGAAAACTAGTGACAATGGCGATAAAAGTAAGAGTGGAAATGAGCAGCAGTGGCAACTTGCCTATGTAACTCAAATGTGAACCTGGTCACATGACATAAGTATTCTGTTCCTTCAATGTGACAGTGATGAATACATTTGCGTATTAGAGATTTTGCTGCTTCATACAAGTTGTAGTGCTTCTTGTCTGATGGGGAAATTTTGACAACTGCCTTGAGATAGTCTATTTCTTTTACATTCTCTTAAATGTATGATTATTTGAATGCATTCCCTGAAACATTTAAACTCATACTTTTCAATTATGAAAATGCACTATGTAACACTTCTGAATGACAAATTAGGCCACACAAATAAAAATATTTCAATAATTGCTGACTCTACGTGATGTGGTATAAGCCATTCAGCATAATGACTGAAAGAGCTACAGAAAACTGCACTACCTTCACCCAAGAACGATATTTTATGAGCTATAACATGGGTATAAGTAAATCATTCTAACAGTTTTTCTGAGCTTAAAAAGCAATGAATCTATGCATAAAACAGTTTTAATAATGCTAATACAGTACCTAGATACAAATCTTTAATAAAAAGCATATTGCACTTGAAGCTTTGATGCCACTCACACGGTGTCAATTTTAGGAAAAAAAGCATTTTTAGCATTCCAGAACAGGAAACTCTGAGGATGTTAGGGAGCTTCTAATGCACATCCAAAGGGATGGTACAGTGCACACAATAGCACTAACTTCCATACTACATGAGTCACACTCCATCTTCCAGCTTCCCCCTCAACTCCCAATCAATAAGTAACTCCTATCTCCATAATCTAGCTCTCAGTGGTAACCAAATAAAAAGACAGGCTCAAGATCCATATGCATGTATGGTGTATCCATATGCAGATGGCAGAATAAGGAGCAACAATCTCAAGTTGCAGCAAGGGAAGTTTAGGTTAGATATTAGGAAGAATTTTTGCGCTAGGAGGGTAGTAAAACACTGGAGCAGGTTACCTAGACAGGTGGTGGAAGCTGCATCCTTGGAGGTTTTTAAGACCCAGCTAGACAAAGCTTTGGCTGGGACAATCTAGTTGGGGATGGTCCTGCTTTGAGCAGGGGGCTGGACTAGATGATCTCCTTACATCCCCTCCAACCCTAACTTTCTATGATTCTATCTAAAATGTAGGACTACCACCTTTGTTTTTAATGGGAGAATATACCTAAAAACTTCCAAAATACACAGCTCATATGCACCTGACATTTAACCATACTGTAACTCAAAACTTAAACATAAGGGGACAATATTTCTTCCATTTACTCAGGAGGAACTATGTCCTAGTCTAATAGATGAATTGGTATCATCTCAGAGTTTATCGGACTCAAAACAGTTTTAATGCCACAGAAAATGAAACCACTCCCATGATGTGACTTAGTTACTCATACTAATACCTGTTGAAGAATGTTCACTTTCACTTGGAGGAGACATTCCAGATAGTACATTATCCTTAGTGACATTTGAGAGAGAATGATCTACAACATTCCTTCCAGGATGAATGCCGTGAAACAACGGATCTTCGGTTGAATCTTCAGGTTCTTTTTCTTTACTGGCGATCACTGTTATGATGATGTTTGAATCAAATGTGAACATAACTTGCAGAATCATCATCCATATTATTACCTTATACTCTTTTTCTCTACATAATAACTCCTGTTCCTTTACTGTTGCATATAGTGTAGAAAATGAGAAAAGAAAAGTAGCCACACATCTTTTTCCTCAGCATCCCGATATTCTCTGTTTCTGATAAGTACTGCCCTAATCTTCAGAAAGCAAGTTCACTGGAGAATGTCCACATGACAGAAGGTAATTGCAGAAAAGTTTATGGTATCCACAATAGAAGAAAAACTAGCAACAACAACTTGCACCTCTAATTCATCTTGGATAGATACCAATTAACCCACAGAGACTGTAGCTTCTGGATTCATACATGTGGAAGTAATAATTAACTTTCTCTTTTGAGACAGTATCTCTTTGCTTAATTGTAGGCTTGGCTCCAGGGAAGTTGCCTTTGACTGTGGGAGTGCTACGCATACTTTGGCTGGATAATTATAATAGATGTGTAAACATATATGAAACTGAAAAGGCACATTTATGTTGATATTTTGGCATGTAAATTCCTGCTGATAAAATAAATGCATACCCTGATCATTGTTCAAGTTGCTATTGCTTAGACAAAAAGAGATGCAGTCAGAAATGTCTTGAAGTACCACCACCATACCAGATTTACCCATCAAAGTTAAAAGCCTTCCAAAGATGCACTGGAAAACATAATGCATATAGGGTTAAGACGACTGTCTAAATACAGTCTAAGAATATTTGCCTTGACTAAATGCATTCCATAGGTGACAGGGTCATGGTGAACTAAAAGTTCATTAATTAGAAGCACAGAATAAAGACTGCCCTGCACAATAAGTGATAAACCATCATCAGAAAGATTGAGACAGCTAGAGAAAATTGCACTAACAGTACTGAAAAAAGTTCAGATATTTTTAAAGGAATTATCATGCTTTCCTCAAAATCCACATTTCAAGCAATGAACTCCTCATAAAAGGTCTTTTTACATACATACAAACTTCACTAACTAATCCTTTAGCTCAACACACTAATATGGGCCTAATGGAAGAATTACTTGAAATTTAATCTCTTATTGAACACATAAGACTAGTTCATAGTAACAGTAATTTCTGGCCTTAGAAACCAATGCACCTATAAATAAAGCAGCTAATTAAAAAGTATTGCACTTCTAACTGTCCCATCTCATGCTATTTACATGACGTACTACTTCCAGAAACAATATTTTTACCATTTTCAAACAGGCTGTTAAGAAGTTTCTCATGCACATCCAAAGGGCTACCACACTGCCTACCACACTGCACTTGTCACACTCCATCCTCTGGCTTCCAGTAGAATAAAGCATTTCTGCACACACCCCATCAAAATATAGCTCTAATCTCCATAGTTAATAAAAATCTGGGTACTGTATAGCTTGTGCCATTTTCCTTAATGGGATGAAGTGGAACAAGATGCTTAAACACTCTCAAAATCCAAAGCTCCGTTTCAGCTTTATATTTAACCTAATTAACTCAACATTATTCAATTAACTGTATAGCAAAAACAATGGGACAATGCTCTCCATTCCCTAAGGGTAACAGTATCCCTGCCTAATAAATGTATTGACATTTAGTTTCAGACATTATTGAACTCAAAATGGATCTAATGCTGCAGAAAATATAAGTGCTTCCATGATCTCACTTAGTTACTCATACTAATACCTGTAGGAGAATGTTCACTTTTAGTTGGAGGAGTAATTCCAGGTAGCACATTATCATTGGTGGCATTGAGAGAGTGGTCTATAACATTCCTTCCAGGATGAACACCAAGGAACAGTGGATCTTGGGTTGGCTCTTCTTTGCTGGAGTCCTCAGCTGCTACAACAATGTTTGGATCAATTTTGAACATCATATTTGCAAAAGAACCACCACCATTATCCTGAAATTCATTTCTTGTTTTTAAAATACAGCCTATCGTATTCTTAATGTAGCAAGTATAAAAGCAGGAGTAATGCCTTCTCTGTTGTTCTGCAGAATATCTGATATCTCAGTTATCCATTGACAATGTTCTAATATGGATCCATAAAAGAACATGCAGCCAGCACCCTCCTGGTTTGGGGCTATACCCATTTCTATAGAACAGTTGCTCATGTCTGCACCAAATGAAAAAGTAGTTTTGATAAGGTAGTTGGGAAAAGATTGAAAAGCAACATCATGTTTTTTATTGGAGTCAATGTTATAGAGCCTAGAGGCATAATAGAAAATATTATATACTTTATTAAACATGCCATAATTGAGCTACAGACAGAAGCAGCAAAAAATGTCCTTAAATACCACCACCATTTGCATTTCAGTTATGAATCATCAGCACCTTCACCAGACGGCATGATTGCAATGGCTAGTTCAATGTGATTACAGAATAAAGGTAGAACCTACCCATTTTTTCAGGTAGAATCCAGAAATGAGAAAGTAATAATACTAGCATTTTGCCAAAGCCATGGCTGCACAACAGGAAAGGGAAACCTCAAAGCAAAACCGAAGAGGTAACTACACAAATGAAGAGCTATCCCAGGAAGTAGTTATACTGCTCCAAGAAGAAATGTCTCTGAATTTGAAGCAGAGTAAAATCTCCTGAAGTAGGACAGATTTCTCTCAGTTTTTTGTGCTAAATTATGTTATCACAATTCCTCCTTCTCCTGGCTCAGACTGCTGAGGTTTTCCTGGGATATCTGTTTCATGTGTTCATGGCCTAAGGCACATGCAATAGAAGTTAAAATGGCAGCAACAAGAGGTAATCCAGAAAAATTACACCACGGCCATTCAGACATGAAGAACCCACCACATAGAGTCTTAAGAAAGAAATACTGCACTCTTAAGTGTTTTTTTTTTGTTGGTTTAGATTTTTTTCATCCTCTAAACCAGGATCATGTCATCAGCAACCAAGACCATCAGAGGCAGCATTCTCCAGACACACAACCTTCATTAACCAGAACTACTTATAATATTAGAGTCAACAGTAAGGTACGTCACATAAATCCTTATTTAAAGCATTATTGAATGTATATTGCTCATTGCCATCTGTCCTGATGCTGGTGCTCTCAGCCTCTCAGAGTATCGGATTTAATTTCAAATTCAACTATCTAAAGAAATGGTTTCTTAGGAAGATGAATATACTGTTATGTGCAAAGAGCTTCTTCCTCTTCACATGCTCACATATTAACAGAACAAGGGACTAGGGAGGCACTCATCACTATACAGATAATCATCTGCCTGTTTCCCTCAAAGCCGGTATTTTGAAGCTAAATTGTGTGAGAAATAGCTTTTGGTATGTCGTTACTCCAACTTTCAAAATAAATGTCCAAAACATTCATTAATGTCTAGGTACAGAAAATACAGTGTGTTCCAGACTTTTAGATATCATGTAGTAACATTTCCTTCCTGTTTTCTTTCTACCTATCTGTGAGAATGAGCAAACTTTCAAGTTTGACATGAGTTTGACATTAAAAAAGACATAGCCCAGAGAAAGCTATTTCTTGACAGTACACTAGCAGGGACAAACAATTATCTAAAACAAAACAAGATTAAAGGAAGGAATATCTGTAAAGAAATCTCAGGACTAATCCTCACTCAAATTTTGCAAGGGAGCTTAAAAAGGATCTTCTAGGCCCTTGACATATATTCACTTTTAGGTGTGACAGAATCTAATCTTCAATCTCAACAATCGCATGTCCAGTGCATGACAGGACAGGACACATGATTTTGGCAATTGGATTAGATCCCAGTTGTGCCTTACTTCCTGGTACAGGGGGAGCCTAGGCTCCCACTATTCCAGCAAAATGAAACTAATCAGCTGATTGTCCCTGGCCCCAGCTGACAGTCAGGTAGGTGCATGGGGAGTTAGGCATGAGGCTGCCACACACCAGTGCCACACTTCCTGTGCACTAGGTGACACGTGGTTTTAAAGCTCCCTGTACATGAGAAGCCTGGCACCAGTAACCCAGTGCAAGGCCCCCGTGTACCAGAACCTGTCCATCTGGGTGGCACATGGGCCTTTGACAGGTCCCAGGCTCATGTTCAATTTAAGGCATGATACAAAAAAGCCACAAAGCTATTCTACATATGATGTGGAACAGCTTTGTGGTTCATTCACTACATTATAAGTCCTTAAACTTAGTTCCATGTGTGGCTAGTTGTTATTGAAAGCACAATTAACTTGTTAATCACTGCTGAAACATAGCACATGTCACGAGCCGTGGTGTAATGGTAATGATTGGAAAGTGGCAGAATCTTTGAAGCTACTATTAGGCCAATTTCTTTATTCTATTTATAATCAGAATACTCTATTGGCCCCTGTCTCTGGTCATGAGGGGCTGTTTTTTCTCCAAGTCCAGGAAAACCAGACCCAGAGAGCTGGGTTGAACTACAGTCCCCAGACTGTTCTGAGGGCTTACAGGAGATGAAGGGGGAAAGAAGAGCTCAAGGTGGGTGTCATTTGGCCTGGAGCTGTGTGGAGGAGCCCCGTGCTTTGTATGCTCCATGTACCACTGAAAGAGGCCACAGGGAGACTGTGGAGGAACCTGGTTTGAGTGTAACTGAGAGAAGGATCGACTTCCCCACTTAGGAGTCCCCATCAGAGAAAGTAGCTGCTGTGACAGAGCAGGGCTTGAGCAAGTTGTACTTAAAAGGCTACAGAAGTTCACGCTGTCAGTGTGACTGTAGTGCAGTAAATGTCCTTGTGCCATCTGGGACCGCTGGGGCTGTGCACAAGGTGAACAGGTTCACCCCAAGGGTCCTAGAGAGACTGTTGGAGTTGGCTTTTGAAGTTATACGGTTGAAAAGGGTAATGTTATCAAGTTTCCATGCTGGGTTACAGTTTAGATGCCAATGTGTATATACAAATCAAGCTTGTTTGTCTCCTCCTGTTAAACTGAGGTACTTTTGTGAAAAACTGAGTGTCCACAACCGTTCACCCCCCTTTTGAGAGGGGTTATATTTATAACATCAGTCATAATCTACTAGTATCTAAAATCAGCCAAGGTCCTAAGAAATCACTTTTCAAATGGCCATCAGGAGTCAGATTCGTAGCGGGTGTAAACTGGCATAGTTCCATTATAGCTAGTTTGTATCTGCTGAGTGTCTACCTAAAGATCTTGGGCTACAAAGAAATAAAATTATTATAATTCATTTTCTATTCCTATAGGCAAATATATGTTGTCTCCAATTTATTACTTATTGTCATACCTGAAGAAGAATGGCCACTTTCCACTTCATGGAAAAGTGTAGGCTTCACAGTATCCACAGTGCTATTTCTGGTACTGCTCTCCTGCTTGTCCCATCCAAGATGAACATTATGCAACAAAGGATCTTGGGTTGAATCTACTTGCTTTGCATCACCATGGGAGTCCACATCTGTTTTGAATATGTTTGAATTGATTGTGAACTTATTATCTGCAAAACTGCTACCTCCATTATTCTAAGCTTTTGTCCCATATGGGCCTAAAAGAAGTCCTAATTTCACATGTCCTATGCAATAGATAGCAAGAAAGAAGGCCCTGATTTAATCACTTTCCTACCCACTAAGATCTTGTTGATGATTTAGGGACTATAACTTTGCTGAGAAATATATGCATGGGTAATTACTAATGTACATTTTTTACTTTTTGTTTCCTGAACTACCTACCACATTTTTCACACTTTTTGTATGTAATGATGACTTTACAGCAGACATTTTATAGTGGATAAGAAAGAGGCTTATTTTAACTTGGTAAGTGATATTTTACATGTAGAAATCCACATTCAACAC